TACAAAGTGTGTGGAAAAAAAAAATACTACCCAAAAGTTTGACAAAGGCTGGTGACAGAATTCAGTGCATGAAAAGTGTTAAAATACCACCATTAAAAATACCTTGGGTTGTCTACTTTTCAAAATATATAGTTTGATGGGGGTAAAATACATTGGCCCAAATAGGATATGGGTGCAAGTTGACTACATGCACAATTCCAAGTTGAAAAACGGATATGCACACCTGCCAAATGTGGCATTTTAGCCCCCCAAAAACCTGACGAGCCTATGCGTGGATGGTATCACTGTACTCAGGAGATGTTGCTGAACACATATTGGGGTGTTGTTTGGCAGTGACACATTACACTATCTGTTAATTCATGCCTAAAATACAATGTGTGTGAAAAAGAATTACTACCTAAAAGTTGGACAAAGTCTGGTGGTAGAATAAGTGCATGGAAAGTGTTAAAATACCACCATTTGAAATACCCTAGGGTGTCTACTTTTCAAAAATATATGGTTTGATGGGGGTAAAATACATTGGCCGGCCTTGCAAATGTCCCAAATAGGACATGTGCGCAGGTTGACTATGTGTCAAAATTCCAAGTTGGAAAATGGATATGCGCACCTGCCAAATGTGGCCTTTTAGCCCCCAAACAACCCAACAAGCCTATGCATGGGTGCTATCACTGTACTCGGGAGATGTTGCAGAACACATATTAGTGTGTTTTTTGGCAGCAACACATAACAGGGTCTGTGAATTTATACCTGAATTGCAATGTATGTGAAAAAAAGTGATGTCATAGACCTGGACTTTTGTACACCTGCTAATGTTTTTATAAATGTATGTTTTAACCCCTTAAGGACAGAGCTTTAGAAGCTTGTCTTTCACTTAATGACAACAGCATTTTTTTTCATTTTTTGCTGTTTGTGTTCAACTGCAATTTGCATTTTACTAATTTATTGCACCGACACATATTATATATCGTTTTTTAAAGGACAGAAAGGGTTTTAATTTGATGTAAGACATACATATATATACACAAATGCTTATTTATTATAAAAAAATACAGAAACATTTTTGTTTGTTTTTTTACAGTTTTTGCAATAATAATGTGTGCATAATTAGTGCAGGTTAAGGAAAGTAATTAAAAATAAATTCATTTAGTTGTTCTGAATTACAGAATATATAATGTGTATGGGATTTAAAGGGTTTTTTTTGGTAGTTACAGGTCACAAAGCACAAGGAGTAAAATAAACTTTTAATGTGGAGCGATTTTTAGAATTTTGTATGTTTGTCTTGTAAACTTAATAGCCATAAAAGAAAACAAAATTGCTACACAAAAGTATAAATTTATATAAAGTAGACCTCACCAGCTATTTACCTAGTTTTGACACTTTCTACATAGCCATTTCACCGCCAACCTCTGCTAAATATTGGAGTAAAATTGTGTTTTTTGTTTTGGTTTTAGTAAAAAATAATTTTGTGCGTTTTTTACATATGGATTGCATTTTTGCTGGGCATTTTGTATATTTCACATGTGCCACTAAGTTCAAACCCCCAAATTATGCTCAGCTAAGTCTTCTGAGTAAAAAGACGCCCCCAATTAATGTCTTTTGCACTATTTCGTGAAGCTACAGTGCCATATAGGAGACCAAGCATATCAGTTTTTACTGAACTTTGAATTGTGACGCTGGGCCTATGTGCAATTTCCAAGCATCTTAGCAGGGTTTAAATTCAAACTACCCCACAAAGGCCTACCATTTCTTAAAGTAGACACCCCAGGGTATTTCAAAAGGTATATTTTGAATCTTAACGTGGGATCATTTGCCTGGTATATGTGGACATCGGAGGGGCACATTTGGGACACAGCCATTCCAGTTTTTTTCAAACTTTACATTTTTACGCTGTGCCCATGTCCCATTATAGAGTATTTTACCAGGCTATATAATCCAAATACCCCATAAAGCCATACCATTTCTTAAAGAAGACATCCCAGGGTATTTCAAAAGGCATATTTTGAACCTTAGCGTGGGATCATTTTTCCGCTAGCTTGTACCAAGTGTAGTGGTAATAAGCATTTTTTCTGCCTTTTTGACGCACAAAGTGAGTTTGCGCAGTATATTTTGCAAACCTTATGTGTGCTACGACTGTATAATACTTAATATATTGCTCAGCTATGTCGTCTGAGTACAGCAATACCACCGTATGTATCTTTGCCAGGTATATGTGGATGTTGAAGGGGCGCATTTGAGACGCAGCCATTCAGTTTTTTTCTAACTTTGAAGTTTTACGCTGTGTCCATGTTCCAATTTGGAGTAGTTTAGGCGGTTGGTTATTGAAACTTCCCCACAAACACATACTATTTATTAAAGAATACACCCTGGGGTAATTCAAAAGGCATATTTTGAACCTTAGCGTGGGATCATTTTTCCTCTAGTTTGTTCCAGGTGTAGTGGTAATGAGCGTTTTAAATGTATTATTTTACTTTTTTTACTTTTAAAAAATAGTTTTTAAACTTTTGTTTTGCTTATTAATTTTTTTAAACTTTCCTAAACTTTCTTAAAACTTTTTTACAGATTTAACATTTTTCTAAGCTTTTTTTTTTACCGTTAACCCCTAACTAGCAGTAAGCAGCACTAACCGTAAATTCCCCATTTTCCCATAACTCCCACCCACCCCAGCTAGCAAAATCTATAATTATAAAATATTTAAATTAATTAAATAAATTGAAATTTAAAAAATAAATAAAAGTTAATTAGAATTAGTATAATACTGTGATCTGTATTTTGATCACTGTAGGCAGTGATCGGCTGGCAGGGAAGGGGTTAATTTTTATTTGGACTAGGTAAAGGGGGGTTTATTTTTTTTATTTTTTACTTAAACGTTATTGACCCTTTTTTTAGCTTAATTTTTAACTTTTGAAAGTTTATTTTTTTTAACGTTAACCCCTAGTTAGCCTAACCCCAAATTCCCCTATTCCCCACTAACTTCCACGCACACCAGCTAGCTAAACATATAATTTTAAAATATTTAAATTAAATAAATTTAACCCCTGAGGGTTAAAAAAAAAAAAAAAAAAAGAATTAACCCTCAGGGATTAAAAAAATAAAATAAAAATCAGATGACCGTAAAATCTAATGCCTGCCAATTGATCACTTTAGTTAGTGATCAATTGGCAGGGAAGGGTTTAATTTTTTAATTAAAATGAGTAAAGGGGGGTGGGATTTTAAATAAACTTTATTTTATTTTTTTTAATATGGGGCAGGATCATCACTGATCCGTCTCCCTGCACTTCACACAGAACCAGGAAGTGCAGGGAGGCGGAAGGTAAGTATACTGAGCACATGTGCTGGGCAGCACTATCGGGTGCTCCCGGTCTGCCTCTAATACAGAGGCAGACCGGAGCACCATTAACCCCGCGATCGCCGCGACAGCAGCGATCCGGGGTTAATTTTAACGGGTGACGGACGAGGTCCGTCACTCGTCGTTATGGCAATCCCCTGAGTGACGGACCTTGTCCGTCACTCGTCGTTAAGGGGTTAATGTAACTGTGAAGCACTTTGGGCAACAACGTTGCAATTAAATGTGCTATATAAATAAATAATAACAGTTACTCTGCCCACTCCAGTTGTAGACTACTGGTGGAGGCAAGAACACTTCACACAATTTCGCCAGAAATTGTAGCTTTTTTAGTTTATAATGTAATATGCAAATGTGCATAGTTGGTGCCTACAATAGTACACCCTACCCCATCCTCACAAGTTTTTGTAATGAAGAAAATTAGATTTTCTGAGTGGAAATGAGATGAAAATCAGTTTGCAATTAGTTATAGTCAGTGGAAAGACAAATTAAAATGTTTGGTTTTATGAGGCTGAAAGAAAAAAAATATATAATTTATATTACATGGTTTTGTACTAGGAAGCCCTATGAGTTGAATTGGACAGAAATTTATTTTAAATAGTGTTTTATCAGCATCAGTACAACAATTGCCTTCCCACATAGGGGAGGACAATAACACAGATAATAGAGTACACAGCATGAGAACAATAGCAGACATTAAAGATGACGGCGGTAAGTACACATAGGCGAGGAATCCCAACTAAATGCAGGCACCACCTGAACCAGCTGTACCGCCTTAACAGTAAAGACTAAACTGTATTCTGCTTGAGGTCTGTGTTTGACCAGAGCGCGACTCACTCTTCCCTTCAACATGACCTGCATTGCCACCACCTCTGCAATACCGAGCACTGTGACATTTTTTACATTAACCTCATCCTGTCCACGTCGACCACCCCAGTCTTAGCCTGTAGCGTTGTTTGGAAGATCATGGGTGGAACACTGTCAGGGATGTCTGTTGTGATGGGAGGGGGTGATGCGTCTAGAATCTACTATGTAGTCTATCAGTATAAGAGGCAAGAGATCGACAGAAGCAGACGAGGGAGAAATGTTTGCCCATCCGGTTGCGAGTGCAGAATACTGGGAAAAAGATGGAAAGTTTAGAAGGGCAGAAATTCTTTGGTAGGCAAAATGTAAAAAGGTATTTGGTGAACAGACATGCAGTCTATTTAGAGAAACTTCAGTATATTATTATTTCAACTTTTATTTAACTTTTTTTCTCAACCTTAGGGATTTCCTTCCACGTGGATCAGGCATTGTGACAAGACGTCCTTTGGTTCTTCAGCTCATTAATTCTGCAACAGGTAAGTTAATGCTTTTGTGTTTCCCCGGTTTGCATACAGAAAACCTAACATTTTAGGCATTTATTTTATAAATGCTCATGTATAAAAATTATGCTTTGTTAGTGCAGCTCTGTCACTGCCTGGGGTCTTTGCATGACTGGTGACAGCTTTGTGAAATTACAAACTTGACAAGTGGTATCATTTGTCAAGATTGTCTAGTTTAGGAAAATTGCTGAGACTAAGTAGTTCCTCTTTAGTCTCACTATATCTTTTGACTGGGTGTAATTTCGGTGAAATTCCCACACAGTCAGAGTATTTCATAAAGATTTGATGTTCGTGAAATACTCTTTTTTGATTAGAAGGGTATAGAGATGATAAGAGATGTATCTTGTTAGATATATATATATATATATATATATATATATATATCTAACAAGATACATCTCTTATCATCTCTATACCCTTCTAATCAAAACAGAGTATTTCATATATATATCTAACAAGATACATCTCTTATCATCTCTATGTTATCTACGTAAAAACAAAATTTGTAAAGCATCTCTGTTGCCCTCCTAATATATATCCATCTTCAAAAAAGGAGATGGAGATTTCTATATATATATATATATATATATATATATATATATATATATATATAAAATCTCCATCTCCCTTTTTGGGTGTTCTTTCTGTCAATCAAAGCTGTGGCGGAGTTCCACTTCCTAGCTGGGGAACGGAAAGGGGACTAGCTCTATGTACTCCAAGGGGCTGGATGACACAAAGCCCTGGGTGCTTCTTAGTCCTCACAAGGACTTTCTCCACTGCATCCTCCACACACTGGAACAACAGACACGGTGATTAACCCTTTCTTCCCCCTAGTAACTGGACGAAGACACAGTTCTGGGAGTCTAACTGGCAATGCTTTACTGGTACAGGCAATTTATATACAGACTCCCGCAGGGATTCTCCTTTCTTTTCAGTACAAATCCCTCGGTCTCAGGCTGGAGGGGGATGGTTCACAGATAGCTATCTCCCGCCCTGAAGATACCAACAGTACAACAGTAAAGCACATCATACACATTGGGGAACACATATGGAATATACATTCCTGAATAGCCCTGGGTCTGGGGCTCAAGGCTCTGTACATCTCCGCAATTAGTAACACAGCGTTGCTTGGTTTAGTCCGGCGAATTCAACCTTCACGTCTAAACCAAGCAACAGCCAATTAAGGGAAAGGGCGCGAAACCAAATTGCGCCAATCAGCGGTCAGGGAAGGGAGGTATTTTTCCAGCCAATCGGGAGAAAGGGCTCAAACTAATTTGAATGGTAGCCCTTCTCCTATTGGCCAGCACGGACTACCAGGCAGCCAGCAGAGACTCTGCGGCTGTGAGGCCGGCTCACAGTTCCAGGGACTCTCTGCTGGGTTTGCATCTCTCCCTCAGGTGGATATCTCCACGCAGGTAGCACCGGAGAGAGCGCTCTTTGGGCAGCCACTAGCCCAGAGAGTGATCAGGTTCTTTTAGAATGAGTTAGGGTGATTCGAACTGCCAGTATGCCAAAAGGGTGTCCCCACCAACCTCAGGGACCCGTTCATGGATACGATACGTTCGGGATATGAATGTTCCCCCTGGTTGGCGTTCGTCTATACATATAGGCGGCCACCCAGGGGAGCACTCATTAATGACTTCCCTTGCGGTTTTGCACTTGTGTTGCAGGTGCAAGCATTCTGATTGATTGGTGTGAACATTCTAATGGGATGCCGGGTGGTCCTCGTTCGGGAGACAAATGGGTTCAGTTCGTATGAACACTCCAGAACTGGAAACAGGGCACAATACATAAAATGCATAGAAATACAAGGGGGAACACAGAGGAAACACACGATACAAGAGAAAAACATATGAATAAGCAGTGGGCATGGTTTTCGGTGATGGCTATCCGTCACAAAACCAGATTTGCATGTCTTAAAGGACCAATCTAGGCACCCAGACCACTTCAGCTTAATGAAGTGGTCTGGGTGCCAGGTCCCTCTAGGATTAACCCATTTTTTTTATAAACATAGCAGTTTCAGTATTCAGAGAAACTGCTATGTTTATAAATGGGTTAATCCATCCTCCAAAGCCTCTAGTGGCTGTCTCATTGACAGCCGCTAGAGGCGCTTGCGTGCTTCTCACTGTGAAAATCACAGTGAGAAGACGCAAGCGTCCATAGGAAACCATTATGAATGCTTTCCTATGAGACAGGCTGAATGCGCGCGCAGCTCTTTCCGCGTGTGCGCATTCAGCTGAATGGGAGGAGAGGAGGAGGATCGGAGGAGGAGAGCTCCCCGCCCGGCACTGGAAAAAAGGTAAGTTTTACCCCTTTTCTCTCCCCAGAGCCGGGCGGGAGTGGGACCCTGAGGGTGGGGACACCCTCAGGGCACTATAGTGCCAGGAAAACGAGTATGTTTTCCTGGCACTATAGTGGTCCTTTAATAAAATACTTTCAGAGAATGGCTTCCGTATTAATATATCTGGTACTTTTTTCTTTTCCATATAATTTGTATTCTAATTTAGGTTACGGTAAGTGGAACAGGCACACCCAATAAGTTTGGAATTATTAAATGTCATTTCTGTGTAGTCATCATGCAAATGCATGCACCTAAGAAGCCACATAGTATGATTATGAAACAATCATAACCTTGGTGAATAGTAAGCCACCAATGGATCAATATATAGATTATATATTTCAGCCACAATTGTAAACAAATCATGCATATCACAAATTCATTAACCACGACTTTTGATCCTTTACTGAATGGAGTGGAACCCTTGGTTAACCATATTGAGTTGAAAATAAGGATGAAATCTCTGGTGTCTGTAGGCTCACAATTCTCAAGTGTGAATTGTATGAGTTTTAGATAACAAACCTAGTCTAAAGGCTTAAAGTAACTGCTGAGCTTTTGTTGTGTTCCTAATTATCTCAGATATCAATTTTTGTTGATTTATCTCCTCTCTCCAGAGAGATATCAATATCCTCTTAAGGTACATAGACTTATTTTGACCAGTCCCTGTATGTAGTGCAAGATTTTTACATTCCTCTTCTAGTATAGATAACTATACAGGACATTGAACATACACTTATAGCTGCAATGACACTACAACCGCAATGATCTCACATGTATGTCACATGATTCCTCAATGCTCTACGTGCGTTGACTATGTAAAGAATGTGTGTGCACGGTGCACCTGTTTATATAACACTTCATAGTGTTGTACAGAAAGCAACAACACATTGAGTTTGGGAAATCTAAGAATATAAAAATCATGAGCAAGCAATTAAAGTTGCCCTTGCATTATAATTTGCAACGGAATTGGTCAATGGAAGTTCCACAAAAAGTAATCGTTGCCAGACTTTAAAGTCTTCTTTAAATGCACGAAATAACAAGGTATACCTATAGATAAAACAAAACTATCTACGTTTGCCACATTAAGTTATTACATTCCTGTTTTGAGCTTGTTGAAAAAAACAACAAAAATGCCCCCAACAAATTGTAAATTGTTGACTGAAGTTGTGCAGATTGGTACAGGTATAATTTTTCAGGCCACAATAACATTTTACACTACTTCCTACTGTGCAGATGTTTGGTGTAGCTATAGTTTATGCTGACATAGTGGCCAATTACAGACTTTCTTGTTATATTTTCTAGTGGCAGTTTTAGAAAGCTACATTCATAGGAACCTATGGTTCTTTACAAATACCTGAAAACTGGATAGTTTGTTTTTATTCATCTGTTTTGGACATTCCTTTTGTTTGTATTAGTAGAAAAGTAATCCCGGCACTCCAAAATGTTCCAAAGAATAGGCAATTTTATTGGACCCAAGAACCAAAATGCAATGTTTCGACCCCTTGACAAAGGCCCTAAGGGGTCGAAACATTGCATTTTGGTTCTTGGGTCCAATAAAATTGCCTATTCTTTGGAACATTTTGGTGTGCCTGGATTACTTTTCTACTAATATATACTATATTTGGTCTCTTTGGTACTGGGACTGATCCAAGAGCACCCTAGGATTGCATGGCGAAGGGCTGAGTGCAGTTCCACAACTTGTCTATGGATACCTTTTTTTTGTGACAGAAATGGTATTTCAGCAAATGTATCATATATATTGCAAACGTATCATAAGTTATTTAAATAATTTAAAATAAGGATGTCATGCTTAATCCCACAATATTTCTGTAAAAGTATTGTAAGGAACCTCCTGTACCCAGAGTGGTACGTTCGTCTGACGTTTCCCGAAATCCCGCAAGGTTCGTGTGAATATAGTGCTCTCTATATCGCATAACCAAACATCAGTCGAGACTTGATAAAGGGTACAACAGGAATGTTTTATTATGGCCAAGTTGCCAGCTTATATACACAGACCCCCAAAATGGGGTCTCTTGCAAAAACATAGGTAAGCCGCCCAGGCGTCTCTGTGTCTGGGAGATAAGTGAGTTTGCTTTTACTTAAACGAATTATCTCCCAGGCACTCAAGCTACAACACATAACACATCAACACCCCAAAATACATACAGTATTAATAGGAACCCCCACAAGTATTACATCCCCGGATAGACCAGGTCTGAGTGCCCAAGTTGTCCGAATAGCTCTCTGATGCATGTAGTATAGCCGAATCGCCACCGGAATAATATTTTGACCTTTAGGCAGTAACTATACGAATATAAACTAATGTTCTTTCTGTTCGGGGATAGACCGGGTCTGAGTACCCAAGCTGCCCGAATAGCTCTCTGATACATGTAGTATAGCTGAATCGCCACCGGGGTAATGTTTTGACCTTTCTGGAGTTCCTATACGAATATAAACTAATGTTCTTTCTGTTCGGGGGTGTCTTTCCCCAGAAAACTGCTCTCCTGGCTTATTTAGGAACGAAGCAGGCAACGGTATGATTTTCCCGGGGTTCATGAGGCGAAGCATCCGACATAGAATTCCACGCACTCGACGACCAAGTACCACTGCCTGTGTTCGGGAGACAAAGTGGCCACCATTTATTGGAGCACGTGTGTTCGATTACACGAATGGCGGCCACCCAGAGAGAGCCCTTAAGTTTGTGGTTACTTTAAGGTTAACGAGCCAGGGTGGTGGTCGGTGTTCGTTAGTTTAGAAGTACCGAACCAAGTGGAAACAAATTACGTTCGGTAAAACAGGAAAGTTTCCTAGGGCAGTTATTCACAAGTATGAATTAACGAATTAATGGCAAAAAAATAATAATTTTAATATATATATATATATATATATATATATATATATAAATAATATTTTTTTGGTATCACTTATCAGAAATATAATATATTTAACATAATATGAACGTTTGTATTTTGAAATCTGTGATTTTATTATGCATGTCATGGTTCAAATCAATGTTTCTTTTTTTTTTTTTTAAACAAAGGGAATCAGTAATGAAGTGGTAAGATGATTGTTGTGGATAAATAGTTGATACTAGGAAAAAAAC